ACTGGGAAATTACACCCAATATAAACCCACCAATGGGATTTTAAGGCAGAATATTTCCCAATGTAATCCCAAATAAGGAAAAAACTGGGAAATTACACCCAATATAAACCCACCAATGGGATTTTAAGGCAGAATATTTCCCAATGTAATCCCAAATAAGGAAAAGACTGGGAAGTTTCACCCAATATAAACCCACCAATGGGATTTTAAGGCAGAATATTTCCCAATGTTATCCCAAATAAGGAAGTTAATGCCTTTAGTTGATTTCCTACTTACAGTCAATGGGCATGTGTTTTTTTTCTAGATTTCAGTCATGATTTTTATTTGATTTAACAAAGTCTTGTTGTGTTCATGCTTTCTTAGAATCCTTGTCAATTCTTACAAAGTTGTTAAAATTATATTCTAAGACTTCATCATGTAATAATAATATTCATATATAATTACTGGAAGAGTTATACGTCAAACAAAGAAAGAAGTCAAAATTCCAATAGTACTTGACTGAATAAATGTAAATTCTAGGGATGTGTGCTTACATCCTTTGAGTGTATAAATTAATGTCCTTCAAATACGTAAAAAGAAAAGGGAAAAAGTCATTTGCTATTTGATGCCATTAATATGTCATTATACAGTAATTAATTTACTTCTTTTCACATTAAACTTGCTTATTTTTGATAACTGCTTAAACTGATTTTACCCAAGATGATTGGCTCCTCCAGTAACCTTGTGCAACCCCAATTACTGAATTCCATTCCACAGTGTTTTTGGCTCTTCTACCATGTGTTTCCCGGACATATATATTTTCACAATTTCGACTTGCCACAAAAAAGTGAACTTCAATTGTCTTTTGAACGTGGTCAACTGCTTGTATGTAACCATACCAAATATCACTAATGGCTTCACCTTGAATAAGACCCATATCATTCTTCTCAGGATATACAGGTACTGTCAGTTGATTTGGACCTAATTTCCGCATGTAGTCAACTACAGTAAAACTGGTGTCATTACAGGGATATAGGATAACTTTACGCAAAATGTTATCAACRTTAAAGATAATAGTTTCTGAAAGAGGTTGACGCAGAACTTTGACAAAGCCACTCCAGTAATGTGTGTCTGCATTTCCATTTTCTAATAGACTGTACAGAAAGCAAACTCCAAATCCTAATAAAGCATATGAATCTCCAAATTTAACTGACCAAAATCCTTTAAGTTGAGCGACAATTTCCTTTCCATCAATTAACACTATAATAGCTTCAGGACAAGTAAAAACAGTACCATTAAAACCAATGTCTGGTTTGAAGCATTTCTTACAAACATATACTGCACGGGGAACCATACATTGAGGAACAGATAATGACATAGCTAACTTTTCACGCTCCTGATCTCCAAGAGGCTTGATATTTGATGCTGACCCTATAAGTATAGCTTGTTTGAGTTGGTGACTGCCTTCCATTTCAGCAACTAATCTGGCATTTTCAACTGAACTTATAATTCTCTGCAATAACAATAAAAAGAACAGTATGATTTTTTGAACCCACATAAAACGAAGCACCTTGGGGAAGTAGATCAACATTACAATCTAAGGCTAAGGTGATAAACAAATTAAGCATACTATATAAAACTACTAAATATATAGAGCCCACATGCATTTTGATCCATAGTATGCTTATCAGCTTATATAATGAATGTTCTACCTGTGAAATCATATGATGCTCCTTAAGGTTGTTGTCATCTTGTACAGATTTCAAATACTCTCTAATTGTTTCCAAGTGTGCAAAGGTGGCCTCTATATTTTTCCCATTATGTGCTTTCTTCACATACTCTTTAACGGCCCTTTCATAGACAGCACACCAAACATTATCTGAGGCTGAAAAGTTTATTATATCCTGGTGTATATGAAGTAAGTTGTGCAATGAGATAGTGCACATTCCCAATCCTTGCACCTCTTCTACTTGTATATTTAGTCTCCATGCCATTTTTTAATGCAATTCAATAAGATCATGTGTCCATCCGTCCCTTCCAGTATGAAAGTGAATCTCAGTTAACCTTGATACCAAGGACAAAATTTCAAATTCTGATTTTCCATTAAACATTCTGCCATTGGAAATGAGTATTTCTGAAAACTCTCTGCTTTCCAATACCCAATGCCTTTAGAATCTTTGCCAATTTCTTTAGGGAGTCTTCCATCCTTAAACTCTGTAGACCAAGGATATGCTTTTATCTGTTTGTCAAATTTTGCCTTGTCAATCATCTCTAATTCTAAAGCTCTTGATAGCTGGTTCTTCACTACATTCAGGGGTATTGTATGGTATACATCAAAAACTTGATGATACAATATGTCAAATCCATAAAGAGGGTACAGATATTTATGAAGAATTGACTCGCCAGTGAAGCCTTTGTCAGAAGCCATTCTTTTTCTCACACTGGATCTGGATTCATTCTCAATGTCAAAAATATTGTCAACTTCAGACTCTATGTCTCTTTCTCCCCATGCATGTCTGAAATGGTATCGGTTTTGTCCATAATAAAAGTGATTATTTGCAGTATCTTCTATGTGTTGACCTTGTAATTTACATCTTCGACATGCACATTTTCCCTGGTTTAAAAATTTACTTGTTTCGCACTGACCAGGATGATCAGCTGTCCATACCAGTAAAAGAATTCGTACTATTTCTTCTTCTGAAAGATTATATCCAGGAACATTGATGCCTTTTGGGTATTTAAYTCTGTATCCATCTATAAATCCTTAACATAAATCATTCATCAGAGGCTGTAAGAAAGGGTCAAGTTTATTCGGTAGATTAGGAATCTGAAAACATGGTATAAATCCAAGAACATAAACTTCCTCAACTTTATTTCTTTCAGACTTTTTTAAGTTGGCAATAGCAACCTCAAATGACCCAGAGCCTCTGAAGCTGGTGCCAAAAGGCTGCCACCCATCAAAGTGCCCTATTAGGGCTATGTTCAAGGGGGATCATTTCGCCATTTTGATATGATATTCAAACTCCTCAAAACACACAGGACATTCAACAACTTTGCAGGCACCATTCTCACTATCAGGCGAA